AGGAGTGACATGGGGTTAAGTACTTGCTCTGTCACTAATTAGTTTTGTGATCTCTGGCAAGTTACATAACTTTTCTGAGCCCAGGTTTCTCTGGTTGTTAAATGAGGATAATCCTAGTTATAAAGACAAGATGAAACAATACAAAATTCCTGACACATAGAACACATTGGATAAGATATGATTATTGAAAGTGTCTGGCTAGGAAACAAATGGGTCACCTCTCTGTGTTGTTTACACCTCAGCTTTTCTTTCTTTGGCTCATGGGACATCCAAGGTCTCTAGAGGCTCAGGCAAAGATCATTTAAAGGACTTAGTTTCAAAAAGTTTGTCTAGAAAGTACTTTTGCCCAAGGATAAGCCATTTTTAGGAAGCTACTTGAGTTTTCCCCCATTACATCCTGTTCCTAGCTCCAAGAGAAGTGAAACTAAGGAGAAAAAAACAGAATTGAAAAAGAAAAAAAAAGATCAGGTAACTGAACATCAGAGGCACCCACAGAGCCCTTTTATTGCCTTTAGCTGCATAACTGTCTGAGGTTAAAAACTGTACTTCCCAAAATTTTACAAAATAAGCTTTTTCTTGTTTAAAAAAACCTACCCCCGACACACACATGCCATTGAGAGGCAATAATAAAAGTATGAGCTTTGGCCCTGACCGGTTTGGCTCAGTGGATAGAGCTTCGGCCTGCGGACTGAAGGGTCCCCGGTTCGATTCCAGTCAAGGGCATGTACCTTGGTTGCGGGCACATCCCCAGTAGGAGGTGTGTAGGAGGCAGCTGATCGATGTTTCTCTCTCATCGATATTTCTAACTCTCTATCCCTCTCCCTTCCTCTCTGTAAAAAAATCAAAATATATATTTTTTTAAAAAGTATGAGGTTTGAAGTTAGAGAAAGCCTTGGTTTTAATCTTTGGTACTTTAATAGCCTTTGTTTTATCATTTTTTTAAAAAAAATATGTTTTTATTGATTTCAGAGAGAGAGAAAAGGTACAGGATAGATAGAGAGAGAGAAACATCAATGATGAGAGAGAATCATCTATGGTTGCCTCCTGCAGGCTCCCTCCTGGGGATCAAACCTGAAACCCTGGGCATGTTCCCTGACCGGGAATCAAACCATGACCTCTGGTTTATGGGTTGACGCTCAACCACTGAGCTACACTGGCTGGACTGATTTATCAATTTAACTTCTCTGAGTTTCAGTTTCCTCAATTGTAAAATGGGGATTATACCAGCTACTTCACTGAGTTAATTTTTAGGGTAAGTGAGGTAATATTGTTCAGTGTTTGATACATTGTAGACATTTGAATACATGTTCAGTCCTTCCCCTTCCATACATGGAAGATGACTCTTCTTGAAGACTCAAGTTGCCCCTTAATGTTTTGCTTTCTAGGCTAACCTCCCCTGATTATTTTATCCTTTTTTTTTTAAATGTCTTTCTTTTTATTGATATTAGAGAGAGGGGAAGGGAGAAGGAAATAGAAACATCGATGAGAGAGAAAAATCAGCATCGATTGATCGGCTGCCTCCTGCACACCCCCCTGCTGAGGATCAAGCCTGCAACCCGGGCATGTGCCCTGACAGGGAATCGAAACAGCGACCTCTTGGTGCATAGGTTGACGCTCAACCACTGAACTACACCAGCCAGACTCTTTTATCTTTTCAATTCTCTTTTATTTAAATCATTGTTCTCTGAATTTTCAAAAAACTTTCATATTAAAAATTTTGAGATAAATTGGACAAAGGGATTCTCTGAGATCTGAATAGTTCAAAATCTAGCAGAAGGATCTATGTTGTAGGAAAGCTTTAAATTCATAGGCTGCATTACATTGCATATAAACAAACCTTTCTACTGGGTTCAGTTTTTGTAGCCCTGCTTCCTATAAGGCATACAATAGATTGACTTTTGAGTCTTCCTGCCCTAACCAAGTAAAGTTTCTGGAAAGTGTTATAAAGTATAGCTGAAGGCCTACATGGTAGCAATTAAGAAACACTGAGGTACATAGATAAAATGAAGTATGGCATTTATTCCTTTAGAACTTTTTTAAAATATATTTTTATTGATTTCAGAGAGGAAGAATAGAGAGATGGAAACATCAATGATGAGAGAGAATCATTGATCGGCTGTCTCCTGCACGCCCCCCCTCCCCCCCCCATTGGGGATCAGGCCCATAACCCAGGCATGTGCCCTTGACTGGAATCGAACCTGGGACCCTTAAGTCTGAAGGCTGATGCTCTATCCACTCAGCCAAACCAGCTAGGGCCCTTTAGAACTTTTGAGGATTGAGTACCGAGTTTTCCAGCCTAAAAACTCAAGAAAAGATGTATTCAGAGATGATGGTAGACTCAAAACTAGTGACTACAAAAAGTTAATATTAGCAGTTGGTGGGAAGGGGTGGAGGTTACCACCAGTAAAATAGCAAACAAATAAGATGTTGAATGAAACATTTAGTCTGTTGATTATAAGGTCAGATTTTTTTTCTATTCCAAGCAGTGAAAATAGGCACTGCCATTTACAGTTCCTCTCATAGGAGTAAATGTTTAGTTAAGGATACTTAGAATATGATTAGCAGTTTTAATTGTCAGAAAGGAAGGGAGTATGTGCTCTAGGATATAAGTAGGTCATTTAGCTCACTGTATACTGTAACATCTGACATTAGGCTTTTTAATAAACAGGAAGCTTTCTGTTTGAAATTCTGAACTCTTAGGAAGTCTGTGAGGGTCAAAGTAAATTTCCTTCTTCATCTGTGTACTTCACAATTGGACTTAGTCCAAACACTTTTTAAAACTGTCAAAATTTTAGATTTGCAGAATGTCTTTGAAGTAGTATATATTTTTTAAAAATATATTTTATTGATTTTTTACAGAGAGGAAGGGAGAAGGATAGAGAGTTAGAAACATCGATGAGAGAGAAACATCGATCACCTGCCTCCTGCACACCTCCTACTGGGGATGTGCCCGCAACCCAGGTACATACCCTTGACTGGAATCGAACCTGGGACCCTTCAGTCCACAGACTGACGGCTCTATCCACTGAGCCAAACCGGTCAGGGCTGAAGTAGTATATTTTTATGCCAAACCAGGTTTTCTTTTTTTTTTTTTTAAATATATTTTATTGATTTTTTACAGAGAAGAAGGGAGAGGAATAGAGAGCTAGAAACATCGATGAGAGAGAGACATCGATCAGCTGCCTCCTGCACACCCCCCAGTGGGGATGCGCCCGCAACCAAGGTACATGCCCTTGACCGGAATCGAACCCGGGACCCTTGAGTCCGCAGGCCGACGCTCTATCCACTGAGCCAAACCGGTTCGGCCAAACCAGGTTTTCAAAGTGTGGTCCCTAGACCAGCAATATCAACATCACCTGGTAACTTGTTAGAAATGCAGATTCCTAACACAAATCCCAGATTGGGGTTCTGGCCCAGCAGTCTAGTTTAAAAAGCAAGCCCTCCAGGTGATTCTGATGCATACTGAAGTTTGAGACCCCTTGCCTTAAAATTACAGAAGATAGAAACTGTGGAAATATTATATAAGGAGAACATTTTGTGTTATTTAGAATGTCACACTGATTTTAGGGAATATAATTATGTATTTTGGGGGGGGGGGGGGAGTATTGTTTGCTTCTCACATGTGCCCTGACCAGAAATCAAACCAGTGACCTTTCAGTGCACGGGAGGACGCTCAACCAACCGAGCCACACTTACCAGGGGGGAATATAAATTTTTTACTGTTCTCAGTACACCATAGAACCTTTTAATGGATGTTCATTACCTACATACACTACCCCCATCTCTATTAGTATTCCTATCATAGCACTTAACTATACTTCATTGCTAACGTCATTAACTGAGAACTCCAATATATAAACATAGTGAAGTTGGGGACTATATCTGACTTGTTCTGTTGTATCTCCTATACTTTATAGCAGGAGTGGGGAACCATTTTTCTGCCAAGGGCCACTTGGATATTTAGAACATCATTTGTGGGCCATATAAAATTATCAACTTAAAAATTAGCTTGCTATATTTGGTCAAACATTTAATAACTCACCCCTAATGCCTTGGCAGGGCCAGACCAAATGATGTCATGGGCCGGACATTCCCCACCTCTGCTTTATAGGATAGGTGCCTGGCCTTTAGTAAGTCTCGCATATAGGTTAATGATTATACCTGTTTCTCTCCTTTCATCTGCCTTTTTTAAAAGAAACACTCAAATGCTTGCAAAGGATGGGGTGAATGGATGGAGCTCCCTAATGATAGGAAATAATTTTGGATGCCAAGGTTCTATCTGATGAAACTGTCCTAACCTGCGAATTAAAAATACATTGGTGCATTTTTCCTTTAAGACATTGACTGAATTTGGGCTAGCTAATGTCGATACTTCTCAAGAAATGGGCTTCAATTAGCATGTGTACATATGTTATTTTCTGTTTTTATAGCAGCCTCATGAAGTAGCTATCACCTCCATTTTATACATGAGAAAACTAAAAACCAGAGCAATTAAATAACTTGCAAAGCTCACACAATTAGTGAGTAACCGTAAGAACCAGGTCTTTCAAACTCTTAAGGACTACTACTGTCCATAGTACTACTGTCCCTGGAATTTTAACAGGACTCTCCATTGTATATTTAAATTATTGATTTTTATTTTTTCATCAAGATACGACTTTGTACTTTTTCTTGATGCAGATTTTTATTTTTGCTTTTTTCATTTATCCTTTTTTCCTCATCTCTCCCCATTAATGTTGTTAAATCTCTTTATTCTAAGAAACATTTAAATGTCTCTAATGTAGACATTCAGGTGGGGTTTAAAGAGCAAACTGCTCTTACTAGGAGCAGGCTTTGGGTTTTCTGATCAAGTTAAGCTTTGGTGCTTTTAGTTATAGCACATTGATCTGAACTATTTGGTGTCATTACATGGTACTCCATGTTATTGCTTTATGCAGACTTAGAAATTTACCTTTATTCACCAGAGCAAAACTCAGTTAAATTCTGTTTCTTTTATTCAGAAATTGAGAAGATTCAGAAAGGGCTTTCAAAAAAGGACGATGAGGAGAATTACTTGGATTTATTTTCTCATAAGAACATGAAGCTGAAGGAGCGGGTACTGATACCTGTCAAGCAGTATCCCAAGGTAAGACAAAAAGTGCCTCATTTCTCTGAGTTGTCTTTGTAGGAGTGAGTCATGAGCTCTAATAACGACTTCCAGAGACTGTGGTGCATCAGAAACTTAAGCCTTTGAATCTTCTCTTCCATACTGTGTACTTGTTTGTGGCAGTTGAAACAAGTAAGTCCATAACTGATTGCATAGCTATAGCCAGGAAAGAAATGCAGTCATCTTATTAAAAAGGGTTTCTCAAATGTTTGTTCCGGCTCAAAGTTCAAAGAAAAAAAAAAAAAAGAAACCTAAAGAGTTATTCTGTCAAAAGATTTCTTGACATGAAATCAAAATGAAGGAAGTTATAGCATAAATCCTTGAAGAGGTGGTTAACTGTATTTTTTACTCAAAGTTTTACTTTTAAAAAAATGCTTTCTCGCCCTAACCGGTTTGGCTCAGTGGATAGAGCGTCGGCCCGCGGACTCAAGGGTCCCAGGTTTGATTCCAGTCAAGGGCATGTACCTTGGTTGCAGGCACATCCCCAGTAGGGGGCGTGCAGGAGGCAGCTGATCGATGTTTCTCATCGATGTTTCTAACTCTCTATCCCTCTCCCTTCCTCTCTGTAAAAAATCAATAAAATATATTTTTAAAAAAATAAAAAAATGCTTTCTCCACCTACTCCTTTTTCCTTTTTTCAGGAAAGCAATTAGTTATATTTAGTTTACAAAAAAAAAAGAAAAAGAAAAAGAAAAAGTACTAAACAAAGATTCCATGTGTGTGTTCTGAGGTGACTTCCTTAAAAATGTTTATCTATGTTAAAGTACTAGGGGTTGCAGTGTGATAGTACATCTGAAATCCCAAAATCAACTCTAGGAACTACCACTTTCATAACCTTAGGCTAATCACTTCATCAGTACAACCTCAGTATATCCTTCGGTAAAATGGGAATGAAACTCTACCTGTTTTATAGGGTTGTTGAGATCAAATGAGATAGTACATGTGGAAATATTTCATAGGAGGATGAATATTTAGAAATCTCTTTTTATTTTCTGTCAGTTCAATTTTGTGGGGAAGATCCTTGGACCACAAGGGAACACTATCAAAAGACTGCAAGAAGAGACTGGTGCAAAGATCTCTGTGTTGGGCAAGGGCTCGATGAGAGACAAAGCCAAGGTAAGTTCACTTAGTGAAGCAAGAAGACACCCTAATGCAAGCATGTCAAACTCACAGGCTAACTTGGGCCAAATAAACAAGGTGTAAGTTTATGTGTGCTGCAAAAAAAACACAAAAGCTTTGATTTTCATAGAAATGTAGGTTTATTTCGATAGAGACATGCTGAATACAAAGGGCTGAAATAAATGAGCAATCATTAACATAAAATAATAGAACATTTTAATAAAAATTAATATTTTTTCTTGAACAGTAACTTACCAGACACAGAATAATTGCTCAAATTAATAAGCGTAACACAAATAAACCTATTTTTCTTGTTCTGTGAAAGCGAAATATTTCCTGTTGCGCACACCAAACAACTCAGTACAAGACTAACGACGTGGCAATTGGCTGCTAAAATATTCGCTGCTAGTATTAGTGGAGAGAAATGGTGAGCCTGCATGTGAGGCACGTAAGCGAAATGAATGCAACACGATTATAGTAATCAGTCATTAGCGAATGTTGTAGTTCATTAAAAATTACATATAACAGGATATTATAAAAATCAAGTTACAAAATTTTTATTAAAATGTTTCTTACATACTGTTATATTGGCTGGGCCGCAAAAATATTCATTAATGGGCCGCAAGTTTGACATGCTTGCCCTAATGCCGCCTTGTAGCCCAGGGTCCAGTCTGAATGCCTTATGGAAACTAGCACTTGTATATGTACAGAATGTGACTCCTTTAAATTTGTATTGGATGTAAGAGATTATATAGATCAAGTTAGTTTGTAACCCTGAAAGAGTCTAGGTGTGCCCAGGTGATTGTTTTTTTTCTGACTTTTGATTGCATAGTAATAGAAACAGCAGTGGCAACTATGGCATTAGAAAGCTTATCTATGAAAATTTGGAAGGGATGCAGTACTGAAACTTACCCAGACTAAAAACACATTCTCTTTCCAGTAGCATGGAAAAGTGAGAGCAGTAGTGTTATACATGCAGGCAACACTGAGGATTAGTTGTCTGGTGTTTTTTTTTTTATAGCCAGCTCGAATTCGAGGCTAAAAGAAGGTATTCCAACAGGAGCCATGAGTAATCCTGACAACAAAACCTAACGCTTATTTATTTTTTGTGTCATAGCCCAATATGTCTTGTATTCTTTGTAAGTGCCAAAAAACTTCCCACCAAAACAGAATATTCCTAGCCTTCTAGGGTCAGGTTTTAGATGAGACATACATGCTACAGCCTAAAAACTTACTCTTTCAGTCCTCCTTTTATGCAGCCTAATTGATGAACATTGTTCTCTCAGACCCTCTTCTTTTGTCCATTCTCATTTCTCATTAGAAGAATCCAGTTAGGGCCGAAGTATGATATTCTAGCTAATGAAATTTACATGAGATTTTCTTCTCTCTATCCTAATTTCTTTCCTCCCCAGAACACCCCAGGCCATGTAAGCACATAGGAAGGGCTGGTGATTACCAGCTCTACCTGGAATTTAAAAGCACATGCTTGGCAATGAATAAATGAGCCAATCAAGGGTTGGCAAAAAGTGTAGAGATTCCTCAAAAAATTAAAAATAGAACTGCCATGCACTATTGTAATTTCACTTCTGGGTATTTATCCAAAGAAAACAACAACACTAATTTGAAAAGATATATGCAGTCCTATGTTCAATGTAGCATTACTAATAATAGCCAAGATATGGAAGCAACCTAGATGTACATCAGTAGATGAATGGATAGTGGGTGCATGCTGGAATATTATTCCTCAATTCAAAAAAAAAAGAATGAAATCTTGCCATTTGAACAACATGGATGAACAGAGGGTATTATCCTAAGTGAAATAAGACAGAAAAAGACAAATGTTGTATGATCTCATTTATATGATTCTAAAAACACACAATAAATGAATAAACGAAACACTCATTTAGAGAAGAAGCTGAGGGAAGGGGTGGGGAATGAGAATAAAAATAAATTAATTAAACTTTATTTTATTGTGCTTTTTCTTTTCACTTTTTTTGTCAAAAAAATTACTAAACATACAGAAATTATTGAATGTAACCCATAGCCAATGAAGAAAATCAGTTGATAGAAAGAGATCTGAGCCCTAGCCAGTTTGGCTCAGTGGATAGAATGTCAGCCTGCGGACTGAAAGGTCCTGGGTTGTGGGCTCGATCCCCAGTAGGGGGCGTGCAGGAGGCAGCCGATTAATGATTCTTTCATTGATGTTTCTATCTCTCTCTCCCTCTTCCTTATTTTCTTCTCTGAAATCAATAAAATATATTTTTTTAAAACAAGAAAGAAAGAAACCTGGAAATAATAAGAGATTTGGGGATTTGCAGACAAGACTTTAAAATAGTTATTATAAATATAATAAATTTGGCCCTAACCGGTTTGGCTCAGTGGATAGAGCGTCGGCCTACGGACTGAAAGGTCCCAGGTTCGATTCCAGTCAAGGGCATGTACCTTGGTTGCAGACACATCCCCAGTAGGAGGTGTATAGGAGGCAGCTGGTGGATGTTTCTCTCTCATCGATGTTTTTAACTCTCTATCCCTCTCCCTTCCTCTCTGTAAAAAATCAATAAAATATATTTAAAAATATATATATAATAAATTTGTTCAAAGATGTAGAGAAAAAATAATTAGGAGAGAGATGGAATGTATAGAAAATGAAAATGTAATAGCTGAAATGCAAATTTCACTGGATGAGCATAATACAGTGTAAGACACTGAAAAAGAAAAAAGAAGAGGGTTGTAAATCAGAGAACTTAAAGGCAGGACTATTCAGGCCAAAGTAAGAAGATAAAAAGGACTGAAAGAAAATGAACAGAGTCTTAGTTGCCTGTGGAACATTATTGTGCAATCTAACATTTGTGCAATTGTAGTTCTAAGAGGGGAGTCGGGCAGAAAACAATTTAAGGAAAAAGTTAAAAAGAAATAAATGTTTGGCAATGAATCAGTGATTGGCAAACACCTATTATCTGAATAGAGACTGGAATTTGTCTTTTTTATACCTTCTAATAGCTCCACCAGGGATTTAAAATAATAGTTAACTTTTGGCAGCAAGACCAATTGTAGGTTTAGCAGGTTGTATAAATTACTATTCTCCAGAGCTTGTTTTACTTTTTTCTTATGCTTTACTGTGTTCCTTAGATGTTACAGTTATTTCTTGCTGTTTCTTTGACCTTGAAGTTAAAGGTGTCATTAAATACCTAGTCTGTGATGTGATGTTTTGTTTCGTTTTTCCACAGGAGGAAGAGCTGCGCAAAGGTGGAGACCCCAAATATGCCCATTTGAATATGGATCTGCATGTCTTCATTGAAGTCTTTGGACCTCCCTGTGAGGCTTATGCTCTTATGGCACATGCTATGGAGGAAGTCAAGAAGTTTCTAGTACCGGTAAGGAAATCTATATCCTGTATCTTTTGAGCAAGAGAGAACTGGATTTTGTGCTGTTGCTAAGGCAGGGGTTCTTAACCAGGGTCTCTGCATATCAGTATCTTAGGTCCACAGCATGTCTGGCATTCTAACATCTGGTTAACAAAGATTTAACAGTTTCTTCACTGAGCTAAGTATTTTGGTACTAGTGTGGAACCAGGCAATTATAGGAAAGTGACTTAAGGATTTGTGTGTTAGACTTTTCAGAGTCTAGAGCCGTGGTCGGCAAACTGCGGCTCGTGAGCCACATGCGGCTCTTTGGCCCCTTGAGTGTGACTCTTCCTAAGCCTTAGGAGTACCCTAATTAAGTTAATAACAATGTACCTACCTATATAGTTTAAGTTTAAAAAATTTGGCTCTCAAAAGAAATTTCAATCGTTGTACTGTTGATACTTGGCTCTGTTGACTAATGAGTTTGCCGACCACTGGTCTAGAAGATAACAGCGAGAAGCTTCTAGTATCCAATCTTAATGGATTAAATTTGAACTGAGTGTGTTCAGGGCTTTTTCTCCTGGAGGAGTTTACTCAAGTAGAGTTTGATTAGAAAGGGACCTGATTAATACAGGCTTGACTGTTAATATTAAACAGATTGGTGTGCAGCTCCTTTGAGAATGTAATTGAGGCCCAAGAAGAGTAAGAACAGACCAGGTTACCTGTCTTGCTTATTACCATCTGGTCAGAGGGTCAGTTCTTTGAATAAATAGAAAATGGTGCAATTTTTGCCTTTTAGTAAGGCTCGGTAGTTAGTAGAATTAACATACTGTTGAGTATTTAATAACCAAGGTTGAATCTGGAACCTTAGAAAGCATTTGCAGTACTATTCAACTAGAAGTGAGTAAGCATCATATTTTCATCATTAAAACTAACAGGGGTGACTACAGTTCTTGGTTTTCTTGACTGTGTAAAATGAGGGAATTAGAACAAAATGTGGCCCGGCCTGTGTGGTTCAGTGGTTGAGCATTGACCTATGAACCAGGAGGTCACAGTTCGATTCCCAGTCATATTTTGTTTTCATATTTTTCTAGTCACAAATATTTTTGTAGGCTCCTAAAAAGAGCCAACAGCCTTGATACTATGTTCTTAGATCCCATACAATAAGCAGACTCTATGTTGCAGGGTCTATCCCCACTGGGGGGCATGCAGGAAGCAGCCGATCATCATTGATGTTTCTATCTCTATCTCCCTCTCCCTTCCTCTTTAAAATCAATTTTTAAAAAAATTTTTAAGAGAGAACTAAATGTAGTATCCAGAGGATGTAAGGACTGGTAGAGCAAAAATTTATAAGCATTGTGTACCTACAATGCTGAGTTTCAAAGATTCCAACACTGTCTCAAGTATCTCAGCAGCTGCTTTGCTTACAAGTACCTTGTCTTCATTAGGATGTTCAACATGAAACAGACAAATTTAAATATCCTGGAGAAAAACCCAGAGCTGGTCAATTTTTCCTTAAGGGAATTCTTTTGACTCTTTTTGAGGTGTTGTATTGAAGCATCCTGAGCCAATCCAGTTTCTGAACGTGACTACAGGGGAGTGCCCATCTCCTCTTTATCATTGGTCTCAGCATATTTCTCAAAAGGAATAGGCTTACAAGACTTCCATGTAAGTGGATCTTCAACAAAGATTCCTGCCAGGGAGATCTGGGTTTCCTCAGTGTTCATGTGGCATTTGGGAGACTCTAAAGAAATTGGCTGTCAGTGGTCACTTGATTCCCCAGTGTGAGTCTTAAGCAGCAGTAATGTGTAAGGTAGGAGGACGAGGTAAAGAGCTATGGAGGGGCATCTTTGTGGTGACTAGAATTTTCTATTCTTGAAATTTTATCCACCTGGACTGTATTAAAATGCATGTAGCATTAAGACTGAATGGCTCTGGAGGGGGCGGTCAGTTGGGGAAAAAGACATGTAAAACTTTAGACAATAAAAAAATTATTTAAAAAAAAAGACTGAATGGCTCTTATCAGGAAATATGTGAAAAGATTTGCAGATGACACTTGACTCAGTTCTTTCCTCTTGTGAAGGAAAAAGAATGAGCCTATTTTTGCATCCATTACCAGAGTTGTACATTTTCCCTTTGGAGCCATTAACTATATCAGAGACTTCCAGTACAGTAGGAAGAGCACTGGACTGGGAGCTTTATCTGCATCATCTTGAACAAGTTACTATTTCATTTTTTTGAGCTTTATTCATCTCAAACATAATGTTAAGTAACTGGTAGGTGCCTTGGGTCTGAAGTTACAAAAATGGCTCCTGGGAGTTCACAATCTAGTGAGAAAGACAGACCAGCAATTCTAAAATGATGTGGTAACTGCTCTGGTAGAGAAAATAAACATGGTGCCATGGAAAAAGAAGAGGGACTGGGAGGTGGCATCAAGAGAAAGTTTTTCAAATGAGGTAATGTTTTAGATTGTCTTGTAAGAGTGGTTTAAAATCCCTCAGGTAGACAAGAAAAGGGCATTAAGTTTAACTAGAGGCCCGGTGCATGACTTTGTGCATGGGTGGGGTCTGGCCCACCCGCCTTATCTGGGTGGAGGGGTGATAGGGGGTGGGGCGGGGCCGGCCGGGGGAGGGCCCATGGGTGGTTGGCCCGCCATCCCCATTCCCAGTCGTTCTGCTGTTAGGGGACAATTTGCATATTACCCTTTTATTATATAGGAGTGCCTGGCCAGCCTGGGTGAGGGGCTGATGGCTGTTTGCAGGCTGGTCACAGCCCCTTCAGGGTGGGGTCCCCCCTGGGGTGCCTGGCCAGCCTGGGTGAGGGGCTGGTGGCTGTTTGCAGGCTGGCCACAGCCCCTCAGTGTGGGGGTCCCCACTGGGGTGCCTGGCCAGCCTGGGTGAGGGGCTGATGGCCGTTTGCAGGCTAGCCACAGCCCCTTCAGGGTGGGGGGTCCTGCTGGGGTGCCTGGCCAGTCTGGGTGAGGGGCTGATGGCTGTTTGCAGGCTGGCCACAGCCCCTCAGTGTGGGGGTCCCCACTGGGGTGCCTGGCCAGCCTGGGTGAGGGGCTGATGGCCGTTTGCAGGCTAGCCACAGCCCCTTCAGGGTGGGGGGTCCTGCTGGGGTGCCTGGCCAGTCTGGGTGAGGGGCTGAGGGCCGTTTTCAGGCTGGCTAAGCCCCCCAGCGGGGATCCTCACCCCATGAGGGTGTGGCCAGCCTGGGTGAGGGGCTGAGGGCTGTTTGCAGGCTGGCCTTAGCCCCCAGCCACCCAAGCTCCCAGTGGAGGCTGGCTGGAAGCAGGTATCTGGGATTTATTTAGCTTCTGTAATTGAAACTTTGTTGCCTTTAGCGGAGGCCACAGCTGGCTCAGGGCTGGCAGGAAGCTTGGCTTCCTCCATCGCCCGGGCAACCAAGCCTCCTGCTTGCTCCAGCTCCGTGACTGCTGGCCACCATCTTGGTTGAGTTAATTTGAATATAGTTGCTCTGATTGGCTGGTGGGCATGGCTTAGGTTATAGTGAAGGTACAGTCAATTAGCATCTTTGTCTTTTATTAGTGTAGATGATTCAAAGCCTACATTCTGAATTCACATCTGGAGTCTGCCACTTACTAGCTCTATGTCTCCTTACTTCAGGGTTGTTTTGAAGATTAAACTGATAAGTTTATATAAAGCTTATTATATAATGCCTAATACATACAGCTTAATTTATTTGTTAGTGGCTTTTATTATTCTAGGAAGAGGAAACTATTTGCAAGAATGGATATGTAAGAGTATGCCAGAATCTGAACTACAAGTTGTTCAGCCTGGCTTGAAAGGAGGTTATACTTAGGATGGAAGTGATGATCTGGAGAGTTAGGCAAGGACCACATCAACAAGAGCTATGATCTATAATAATAAAAGTGTAATATGCAAATCGACCAAACGACCCAACAGCAGAACGACCGTCCAGACCACCTTCCAGACGACCACGCTATGACACGCACTGGCACCAGGCCAGCCAAGGCGGGTGTGATGCGATTGGTCAGGGGGCCCCTGCCATCGCCTCACAGAGGGAGGCCCAGGCCACTGGCCAGCAATGCTATGGCGGGTATGCAGAGCCGGCCAGTGATCGCCCTGCAGAGGGAGGCCCAGGCCAGCCAAGCGATCACACCCCACGCCTGTCGCCCACAGAGGGAGGCGACCAGTGGTGGGGGAGGGAGGACAGCACCGCACAGATGGCAAGCAGTGGCAGCGGCAGGGGTGGGACTAGCTGCCTGCATCCAGGGGAAGGAAAGCCCGATAGGCCCTGATCACTGGCCAGGCCTAGGGACCCTACCCGAGAGGTCCCGGTTGCGGGAGGGCGCAGGCTGGGCTGAGGGACACCCCCATCTCCCCCCAGTTCCCCCCCCCCCCTCCCCACACACACACTCCATCCCCCTGTGCACTAATTTTGTGCACCGGGCCTCTAGTGCAGTGATGGCGAACCTATGACACACGTGTCAGAGGTGACATGCAAACTCATTTTTTTGGTTGATTTTTCTTTTTTAAATTGTTAATTGGCATTTGAATATATAAAATAAATATCAAAAATATAAGTCTTTATTTTACTATGGTTGCAAATATCAAAAAATTTCTATATGTGACATGGCACCAGAGTTAAGTTAGGGTTTTTCAAAATGCTGACACGCCGAGCTCAAAAGGTTCGCCATCACTGCTCTAGTGTTTTAATAAAGATAAGGTACTTTCCTCAAAGAGGTAACAGGCAGGGTGCCATTTGACTTCAGAGAATGAATGATCTCTGATATTTCATCTGGGCTTTCAAATTTGTTCTTAGCATTCAGGGCTCATGTGAGCTAGAAGACTTCCCAGCAAAAGTTGGAAATATTACACAACAATCCTATTATCTTTCATTTGCAGGATATGATGGATGATATCTGTCAGGAGCAGTTTCTAGAGCTGTCCTATTTGAATGGAGTACCAGAGCCCTCTCGAGGACGAGGGGTGCCAGTGAGAGGCCGGGGTGCTGCCCCTCCTCCTCCACCTGTCCCCAGGTAAAAATAATGTAAACAACCAGAAATAGGATGTAAATTTGACCGCTAGTACCATCTCTCTATTTGGTGCTCTTATCTCCAGCTTAGAAGGAGTCATATCCTTCATTGAATGGAATTCTAGCTCTTGAGCATTTTGGCCATAGTCAAGTGTAGCAGTCCTTCTGAAACTTTTGGTCTTTTAATTTTGGACAGTTACAGCATTTTTACTTTTTAAATATGTTTTTATTGATTTCAGAGAGAAGGAGAGAGAGATAGAAACATCAATGATGAGAGAGAATCATTGATCTGTTGCCTCCTGAATGCCCCCACTGGGGGGTCGAGCCTGCAACCCAGGCATGTGCCCTGACCGGGAATCGAACCATGACCTCCTAGTTTTCATAGGTCGATGCTCAACTATTGAGTCATGCCAGTCAGGCCAGTTATAGCATTTTTAAATGATCGCTGACTTTAGCATTTTACCTTTTGTTACTGATCTTTATGGAGTGTTCCGACTCTCCAAAGCAGTTTATTGTGGGACCTGGGGAATCTTCCATTGTGGGGTTTTTACCTACCCATACTTTCCTCTAGGTTTTAATAATAGTTTTTTTAAGGCATCATAAAATCTGGCTAGTTCCAGAATTTGCACACAAATCTGACCATGTAAGTAGCCTATTTATTAAAAAACCTTTTTCAATAATAAAGATAAATTATAAAAAAGTAAGTAAAAAAATAATCTCCATTTAAAATAAACTTTCTTAGATGATGTGTTATGGAATCATGCACCTAAAACCTGTATAATTTTGTTAACTAGTGTCACCCCAATAAATTCAATTAAAAGGGGGGAAACTTTCTTTTTATAGGGGCCGTGGTGTTGTACCACCTCGTGGGGCTTTGGTGCGTGGTACGCCAGTGAGAGGAGCCATCACCAGAGGTGCCACCGTGACTCGAGGAGTGCCACCCCCACCTACTGTGAGGGGTGCTCCAACACCAAGGGCACGGACAGCAGGCATCCAGAGAATACCTTTGCCTCCACCCCCTGCACCAGAAACATATGAAGATTATGTAAGAAGTTTGAACAATGTGCCATTTCCCACTACCTAGAAGGTTGCCAAAGGAAGTTGAATGACAGGGCCTTGGTCCTTGATGTAGGTGGCAGGGATTGCCTGTAAGATTCAGAATCTGCTCTTTTCTCTTTCAGTGAATGTTAACCTAGGAGAAGATTTTTCCATTTTAAGCATGGTTTGCTACCATATGTATGTAGATTAAACAGGAAATAAGCTGTGCCTTGATGTATAGTATTTTACTAAAGTGGTCTCCCACTACTACCAGTTCAACTTTGTACCTTATTTTCTGCTCACACTTGGTTTTTGTTTTTGTTTCTTTTTTGTTCGTTTGGTTGTTTTGTTTCATGTTTTAAAAATAACCCTTTCTCTCTTGACTATTTCACAATGGGTGTTAACATTTGGGAGGGAAAGTTCATGTTCTGTTAATGTAGAAGCCTGCCATCCTCCCATGGGATATAATTACCATCTCTACTCTCTGTGATTCTGACTTGTTATTTCATTTCATTTGTTCTAGGGATATGATGATACATATGCAGAGCAGAGTTATGAAGGCTACGAAGGCTATTACAGCCAGAGCCAAGGGTAAGTCAGGCAATAGAGGTGCTGTTTCTTGTCCTGGGGATGGATGGCAGGGTGGGGGTTAGGGGGGAGTGGAAGGGACAGAGATTTAGGCAACACAAATCTAAGGAGCAGTATGGCTTACCTTTTGAGGGTATCTACTATGCTTTGGACATCTGTAAGTTTGGATAATTGTGAATCTTGAATTATATTGTAGAATCTGAGAATAGAAAAATTCCTGAGCTGTGACTACATGGAAACAAAGGAGAAATGCCTTTAAATTATTTGATTTATTTTTTAAAAATATCACAGTCACAGTAAAATTGTATAAAAGTTTAAAAGGAAACTAGAATTCCACTGCAGTAGCTTGGGTTCTTTTCTGCACTTTTCTTTTTCTTTTTTTTTTCTTTAAGATTTTTTATTGAATTTGAGAGAGAGAAACATCCATGTGAGGGCAAAACATTAATCACCTGCCTCCTGCACTCCCTACCCAGGATCAAGCCTGCAACCCAAGGATGTGCCCTGACAGGGAATCAAACTGGCAACTGAGCCATACTGGGCAGGGCTGCGCTTTTCTTTAAAAACATTTTTTGTGTATATGTATTTTATCTGTGATTGATTGAAAAGATGTCTTATAGTTCTACATGGGGGACAAGATAGTTCTCATGTTTGTTTATTCTCTTCCAGTGAGCACTGTGGTCAATTTTATATTGTGCTTTTCCACTTTAAATTGTGTGGTATCCATTTTTCTTTGCTACAGTTGTTACCCATTTTCTTATGAGTACATAGTTATACATGTGTTGGTAATGTTTTATGGTTTGAAGATGGGGGGTGAGCATTTTCCTTTATTATACACACAGTAAAATGACTGAAACATGGAAGTATTTGGGAGAAAGGTGAAACTGAAACATAGTTGCTGTATGGCTCTCTAACACTCTGTCTTTGTCTTTTAGGGACTCAGAATATTATGACTATGGACATGGGGAGGTTCAGGATTCTTATGAAGCATATGGTATGTCTTTATTTCTGTGTTGGGGCAGAATGTGCAAGTAAGTGCCTGAGAGAATACTGGATTATTGAGGATCAGACAGTCACACACCTGAGGAGAACCCTTTAAAGGCCAATAGGAATCCTACTCTTAACTTAAATTTTGTGGTGTGCAGTAGAGATAGGGGTACTATTACTCTTGGAAGGCTATGAAAATGTCCTAAACTAGGGCTCAGCAAACTAGTTTGCCTGGTTGGGACAGCAAACGTTTTTTTTAAATCCTCACCTGAGGATGTTTTTTCTGTTACTTTTTAGAGAGAGTGGAAGGGGAGGTATGGTGAGAGGGAGGGAGAGAAAGAGAAACATCAATATGAGAGATACATCGATTAACTGCCTCCCACACTCACCCCGACCAGGGGTAGGGAAGGAATCGCAACCCAGGCCCCATGCCCTTGGACCAGAATGGAACCTGCGACCCTTTGGTGCACATACCAGTGCTCTAACCTCTTTGCAACACCAGCCAGGGCTGGAGCAGTAAACTTTTAAGCTGATGTTGATTTTTTTTTCCTACTTTAGGCCAGGAGATGGCTAGACCTAGGGTATGTTGCTGGGCCTTTGCTTCTGATACCTAGACCACATTGATAGATAATAAGAATTTCATTATATCCAATTCTGCTCTTCTGCCCTACCTCACTTTTAAAAACAATTTTGTATCTCATCGAACAGAATCCCAATGTAGAGGAAAGAATAGCTGAAAGAGACCGAGATTGCAAGTAGCTAGCCAGAGCAAATTGGGGCAAGAATAACACCTGTTAGACTCAGATTAGAGACAGTGGGGCTGGAGCCAGTTCAGGGCAGTACTGGCATCAAGATCCTTACTGTTTTGGAGACATCTCAACTCCTAAGAGAGCTATAGGGGCTGGAATGGCTGCATAACCAAACTGTCTTCCCCGAGGTTTAGTTGAAAATGCATTGCTCAGGAGTGTCTCAAGAGCCAATAAAGGCCTCATGTTAATGGGCGCCAGAGGGAGTGCCATGTGGTCACAGATGCAAAGAGGGAGCAGCCTTTTAAATGTGAAATATTTTAAACATACCTAAAGGAATTCTAGAATCCTTGGCAAGAGGTTCAGCAGTTGACAGATCTTCTTAAGATGCTAGTTGACAATCTCCCTCTTCCCCTAGCTGAAAAAGGGGAGCCTCTTAGGGCCTCCCACAAATGGACAAGCTGAGCTCAACGACTCAGCACGGTATGTAGTAACCACTCAGCTACTTGCCCAGGGAAGCAGTTTTTATTAATTCTAGCTAAGTGGCATTGGACTGTTGCCATCAGTAACTGTTCTATTCATATGCCACTATTTAGAAGAGCGGTATGATTGCCCTGGGGTAGTTCCCTCCCTTCAGTGAGGCAGCACAATGGGCCTCTGTATGTGTTGACTATATTGCATTTCTGTTTTGCTGGATAAAAGACTGGACTGAAAGAGGCAGACTGCTCCTTATGCCCCTGGTATGATGTTACCATGGTAATCTGTTCTGATTTCTGCCTTTATAAAGAGAATTAGAAAAAATAAACTATCTTGTTGGTACCCAGAAACAATTTGGAAAGTGATGGACATATCTATTATACTAGGCATAGAAACAGGCTTAGATAGGGTGCTGTGTGACTTTAGATCCATATAAAGGATTTTTTAATATATATTTTTTTGGGGGGGGGGCGGAATTTCAGTTTCTCCCCCTTATCATCAAGACTCGCTGCTTCCCATCATCTATATTTATTGAGCATTTACAGTGTACTAGGCACAATAGAACATACAAGAAAACATTGTCCTGCTCTTGAGGAGCTTACATTCTAAAAGAAAAAAATAGACCTCTTTCAAAATGGTATTTTTATTTGGTGTTTTTGCAAGGTACTTAGGGATATATTTTTAATTGATTTCATAGAGGAAGGGAGAGGGAGAGAGAGATAGAAACAGCAAGAATGAAAGAGAATCATTGATTGGCTGCCTCCTGCACGTCCCCTACTGAGGCTTGAGCCCGCAACCTGGGCATGTGCCCTTGACCAGAATCAAACCCAGGACCCTTCAGTCTGCAGGCCAACCCTCTATCCACTGAGCCAAACCGGCTAGGGCCATATAGGGGATTTTATTTTTTATTATATTTTTTTTAATATTTTTTATTTCAGAGAGAGAGAGAGAGAGAGAGAGAGAGAGAGAAACATCAATGATAAGAGAGAAACATTGATCGGCTGACTCCTGCATGCCCCCCAATGGGAACCGAGCCCACAACTTGAGCATGTGCCCTGACTAGGAATCGAACCGTGACCTCCTGGTTCATAGGTCGATGCTCAACCACTGAGCCATATAGGGGATTTTAAACCTATAGTGATGGAGGCAGATGTTTGTGAATGCAGGCAGCTGGAGAAATACTTCAGGAATGAACTGGCATGGGTAAAATATGGCAGTGAATGTGAAGAATAAGTTTATAAACACAACTCATTTTTATGAGAGGTCAGCTCTAGAAATAAGTGATCCTCTCCCTCACATTTTTCCATATCACAAAGGAAAACCATTTGAAGATGTCACCTATGTTGTCTGGCTTCTCTGGACGGGCTTCTCTGGACTACTGGCATCAGGGCAGAAATAATGAATTCTCCTAATTAGTGCTCTAAATACGATTGTACTTTGCTCTACCAGAGCAGTGGGCCGCAGCTCTGCTGGTGGGGAGCCTCATGAAAAGTGGTCCTTGCTTGCTTCTCCCAGAGAGACAGAGGACACTTCTCCATGAGGAAACCTGGCTTTCTGTTGTATGAAAAGGGAGCTACCTGCTTCACCTTACCTGAGGCTGTCTGGTTGCTTTGGGAACAGGATATTGCAAACCCATTGAGATTGATTTCCTCACTGTCTCAGCAAGTGTTGGGTTTATCCAGGTTTGGGGACTGGAGTATAAATCATGTTGCCTATGGAGACCCTCTTTGCTGGAGATTATTCCAAGCCCTGTTTGGGCTGTTTCCTTGTGCCTATCCACTCAAAACTGCCCTCCACTTGGGAAATTGCCTAAGCTGCTCAGGAGGGCCAAGTAGAGGGAAAAGCAAGGACCACTGGGTAAGTAGCAGAGCAGTGTTTCTTTGCCAGGTGACTTACCCGTGCGCATCCTCAGATGCCATTGACACATGGTTTATAAACTGTTCTTGCTTTCCCCATAGGCCAAGACGACTGGAATGGGACCAGGCCGTCGCTGAAGGCCCCTCCAGCTAGGCCGGTGAAGGGAGCATACAGAGAGCACCCATATGGACGTTATTAAAAACAAACATGAGGGGAAAATATCAGTTATGAGCAAAGTTGTTACTGATTTCTTGTATCTCCCAGGATTCCTGTTGCTTTACCCACAACAGACAAGTAATTGTCTAAGTGTTTTTCTTCGTGGTCCCCTTCTTCTCCCCACCTTACTCCATTCTTAACTCTGCATTCTGGCTTCTGTATGTAGTATTTTAAAATGAGTTAAAATAGATTTAGGAATATCGAATTAATTTTTTTAAGTGTGTAGATGCTTTTTTTTCTTTGTTGTTTAAATATAAACAGAAATGTACCTTTTATAATAAAAAAAAGAAGTTGAGTAAAAAAAAACACCACAAACCTGTTAGTTTCAAAAGTGACATTGCTTGCTTAAAGGTTCTGAAGTTAAGGCTTGTTAACTTTATCTTAGTTTTGATTTGAGGCATCCCGTATAGCTGTAGTTGCAGAATCCCAAACTAGGCTACATTTCAAAATTCAGGGCTGTTTAAGATTTAAAATCACAAACGTTAACGGCAATAGGTGCCACCATGTAAAAGTGAGCTCAGACGTCACTAAAAATGTTTCCTTTAAAAGCACATGGCGGTTGAATCTTAAGGTTAAATTTTAATATGAAAGATCCTCATGAATTAAATAGTTGATGCAATTTTAACATTAATTGACTTAAAAAACAACAAGATTAGGTTTGTAAAAATGACTTTTTCATTATGTGGGTTTTGAAATCTAGCCCCAGACATACAGTGTTGAGAGATACTTAGTGGAAAGTAGGCTTTGAAGAGTTTAATTGGGGGAGAGGGGTTTGCCACCTGAATTGAATCCGATGCAGAGCTTTTTAGCCACAGTCTTTAAATAATAGTACTAATAACTAAACTTTCAGTATTTAAAAAGAAAGTGTTTTGTCCATCTGAGATTCTACACTCCATGAAAAGCTCACTTGGACACTGGGGCCAAAAGCTGATAATTTTTTAAGTTTGACAATATTGAACTGTTCCCAAGGTAGTCAGTGAAGTATGTCTCAACACTAGCATGATATAAAAAGGGACACTGCAGCTGAATGAAAAAGGAATCAAAATCCACTTTGTACATAAGTTAAAGTCCTAATTGGATTTGTACCATCCTCCCATTTTGTTCTTGGAAGATTAAATGCTACATGTGTAAGTCTGCCTAAATAGGTAGCTTAAACTTATGTCAAAATGTCTGAAGCAGTTTGTCAATAAAGTTTAGTCCTTTTTTAATCAAAGTAAATGTGATGAATTGTCATTTTTGTGGGTGGACAATAAAATAGTTTTCTCTTTCAAATAAACTTAAATTAATTATAAAGTTAATGGTCTTGTTAAAAGTTGGAGCTTGGAGACATTCTTAAAAGTTGTGGTGGGGATTTTATTTTAAGTTTACCAAAAAAAGTTTATGAGTTGTTAAGTTTTAGTTTAAAAATAACCAAAGCTTTTTCACCCCCTGGAAGTTGTTGAAAACAGTTTTATCTAATCCTATCACAAAATCTAATTTCTGGAGAGAAAAAAACAACTAAACCAAAGCTTGGATTGGTTTCCATACAGAGGTGTCAATATTTAAAGTGCCAGCCACCTTGTTCGCATCTTCTATAGAGTCCCTTGGTGGTCCTAAGAGTGACACCAAATAATCTCTGTGAGATTGGAAAGGGATAGCACCTGCTTTCGAGATGACAGTTCAGCAAACTCTGGGTACAATTAAGGGTTTCCCTTCTAATCCCAGAAATGCTATTAATCAGCTGGGCTGGGCAGGATCTGGCATCATAGGCTGGCTCTGTACTCCCTCCTGAGAGATCAAGAGGAAATGATGGAATTGGTTGGCCCTGTTTCTACTCCTCTGTTAATTTTTAGGGTTTGCATGCCTTCTCTAAGTGAGCCACCTAAAACTGCTCGGGGGTGAAAAATCCTCTTGTATGAAGTGCCAAGCTGCCTGCAGCAGTGCATGATGGACATTTTTTTTCTTTTTTAAAACACACCAACAAAAAATGTATTTGTAGATTGTGATAAAGTGTAAATAACTGAATTTTCAACCATGGTTTGAAGTCAGCTTTCAGGGCATTATGTCTTGTTTTGATGAAAAGAGATCACTCTATACCCCCCTTTTTAAAGGAAAATTATCGCAAGAGAATCAGGATGTGTAAAGCTAACATGCATCGCAAAAAACCAAAGGTAACCTAAATGTCTGATTTTAATAGCACATATTTCTCTTTTACATAAACTGTGACAGCAACTTGCATAAACAATTCTTTAGCTGTTAATTTTAATGTTAAAACTTTGAAAAACTTGTTTAATAAAAATAGCTGTAAAAAGAAAAACCATATGCTGCCGCATAAATTAGCCATAACTCTTAATAATCCTGCCCATCACAAGTGAACTGTAATGTAACCTGGGCACAAAGTCTGACATCTTAAATGACACAATGTAAAATTTCAATGACTGTAGATTAGATATGCTCCCCAAAGTAAAGCTTTCTGCTCAGCTATTTTAAAATGTACAAGGATGAGCCCCCATAGGTTCCCATATTGATATTCACAATGAAATGTTACTTAAAATTTCCTTAAAGTTGCATGTTTCTCTCCTGTAATGTATAAATTGCATGCAGGATCTCTATCTTTTATTTTGTATGTCTTTAAACCTTCCTCTTCAAAAGACTGATCTCTTACTTCTCCATTTTCAGGTCATTGAAAACTCAAGACATTTCCTGGAGTAGAATGGGTATTAAAGACCCATGTCAGGTATGTTAAGGTGTCTTTCTATTAAGGATGTGGGACTTTTATCTATATAAAAGGCTAATATACTAAGTGTCTGACCATCCAATAAGTCGCTATGACGCTGACCACCAGGGGGCAGACGCTCAACACAGGAGCTGCCATGATGCACACTGGCCATTTACAGAGAAACAGCAGCCCGGACCTGGCACCCACAAAGCAACACTCGGCTTCCCCCACATGGGACACAGGCCCCACCACCACCCCAGAGCGACAGCCCACCAAATCTCAGCCGACACTGCCGAGACCCCATGGCGCAAAATGCAGCCGGCTTCCTCTCCCTAGTGACAGGCCATTTAACAATAAACAGTACCACGAACCTGGCGGCCACAAAGCAACACTTGGCTTCCCCCAAGTGGGGCACAGGCCCTGCCACCACCCCAGAGCGACACGCCACCAAGTCACAGCCAACGCTGCTGAGACCCCATGGCTCAAAATGCAGCCCACAGCCCAGCCCAGCCAGGAAATGGTGACTATGGGCGCCGGGTAATGACATAGCAACGCCCGGCTTCCTCTCCCTAGTGACTAGTCTCCTTGAAGTTTCTTCAACCCAGGAACATGACTTACATTATAGCAGCCGTGGGCAAACTACGGCCCGTTTGAAATGAATAAAACTAAAAAAAAAAAAAAGACCGTACCCTTTTATGTAATGATGTTTACTTTGAATTTATATTAGTTCACACAAACACTCCATCCATGCTTTTGTTCCGGCCCTCCAGTCCAGTTTAAGAACCCATTGTGGCCCTCGAGTCAAAAGGTTTGCCCACCCCTGCTTTATAGCCAGGTGGAAACATTTTACACTTTAACCAAATGTCTGTGAATTGTTTTCCCGTGCCTCATCTCATTTGATCCTCACAGAAGTCCTGGAGTAGGTAGATAGAAGACTTGGTGGAATCCTATTTTCATTAGCCAGAAAATGGAGATTTAGAAAGTTTAGAAACTTGCCCCCACTGAAAAGAAGAAATGGTGGACCTTGAAAATGACTTCAGGTTTTCTCACTGCTCAGAATATAGTCAAACACTGCTGCAGTTAAGTATTTTACCCTTTGTTCTCCCTGAGTGATCTACAGTAATAGTCTGCTTCATGTTGATATTTCCAGCCAGTTCTAAACCAGTGCTGAAAGAGAAGTTGGGGTGGTTCACTGGGTTGGAAGAAGTTTAGCTAAATCAGAAAGCAGGTCTAATTAAGCAAGTTTATTCTATATCTATAAAAGGATATGTTGACTCACACATGGGTGGTACATATAAAGCTCTCGTTGGTGCTGATCGCACGCATGTGTTTCAATCTGTCATTGTCGTGAATTTGGTTGACACTTCTATTATAGAGAAAGGGCGAACAGCGATATTAAAATATTTCTTCTAATTAATTTCAATGTGCATGAATTCGTGCACCAGGCCACTAGACTATATATATAAAAGCCTAAGCAACCATTCAACCGTTTGACCGGTAGCTATGATGCACACTGACCACCAGGGGGGCAGACACTCAACACACAGGCATGGAAACATGGAACAGACTGATGAATCTTAGAGGGAAGTGGGGAGAGCAAGACAAGATTAACTAAAGATCTTATCTGAATACTAGAGGCCTAGTGCACACATTCATGCACCAGTGGGGTCCCACAGACTGGCCTGTGGAGATTGGGTTGAAACCAGCAGTCCGACATCCCCCAAGGGGTCCCAGATTGCAAGAGTGCGCAGCCCAGGCCAAGGGACCCCACCAGTGCACAAGTGAAGAAAGACATTTCCCCCAAAGTCCGTTCTTAAGACTACCCTAGGCAGAACTGAGACACTTTTCTGAATTCAGGGACTTTATCTTAAATTTATCTACCCATTCATGTGACCAATACCATATTCAGGACTTTCTGGATGCCCCAAACCATGCTCAAGACAAATGGCCTTCCTTAAAGTCTTCAAATCTCAGAGGCTCCTGGCTAAGAGGGAGGCTAAGAAATGATATCCAAGAAGGCAAATTACTCTGTCAAAGACTATAAAGTGCCTTTGGCTTAAATAGGTAGATCTTGTCTCCTCAGTGCTATCAGAACCCTAACTTATTCAGGGCGGAGGGGGAAAAATCATCCAGTTAGTTCCTGGGTGGCTTTAAACACATCCTTTTGTGCCTCTTGCATGTTTGAAACTAGTACTAGCAAGCATCTGATGAATATTTAATAGCCTTGAGCACACAGGCTGCATACAGCTGTCTTGAGATGGCAGCTGTTGGGGGGAGGGGAGGAAGTGTACTGCACTGCCTAACTATTTCTTTTGTTCCCTGGCCTAGCCCGTTAGGAGCAAAGGCCTATCTATGGTGGGTACTGTACCCTAGTCCTATTGTGGCCTGATTGATGCCCTGGGCTCCCAAGGAGGTTATATTCAAGCAGCAGACCAAACCCCTTTTTTGGGTAATGGGAGCGGATTATGTTCACTGACATCTAGAATCAATTTTTCAACCCTGGGCTGGAGGTTTTCTACTCTGGCCTTTCTCTTCCTCTGAGACAGATAATGTGTTTTCATCCAGTGTTCTGCCAACTTCAGTTCTCTTTTCTAAAAGGAGGGAGTTCTAAAAGGAGGGAGACTTGTATCTGGAAGGGACTTGAATTTCATAATCATGCTGCTGGGTTTTAGCCTCTTAGCATGCCTTGACTACAGTGCAGTAGTAGCCTCTCAGCAGTAGGTGTCCTACTCATTCCTAGCCTAAGCTGTGGCGATTGGCTGCATCGCAGGCAGGCATTAGGCAGGGGAGTTCTCAGGCAGGTACTCAAGCTATCTTTGTGCTTCCTTCACCTAGACCTAGGGGAGCTTTTTTTTTTTTTTTAATATGTTTTTATTGATTTCAGAGAGGAAGGAAGAGGGAGAAAGAGATAGAAACATCCACGATGAGAGAGAATCATGGATCGGCTGCCTCTTGCAAGTCCCCCACTGGGGATCGAGCCCACAACCTGGGCATGTGCCCTTGACCGGAATTGAACCTGGAACCTTTCAGTTCGCAGGCCGACACTCTATCCACTGAGCTAAACCAGTTAGGGCAAGGGGAGCTTTTTGCTTTAAGAAGACCTTGCTATTTCCAGGGCAAATTTGGAGAGGTTATGGGGACTCCTGAAAAAAGACAGCCTGTTTGAGTTGTTTCTTGGCAGAGTGTGAGCCATGGCCAGGGTATCGCCCCAGATTAATCAGGTAAGTAGAGCACACTACCAGGAACTTGGGCACTGTTTCTGTTTATACTGTTTTAAGATGCCTGAATTAGCTGTTCCCTTGTCAACCTCTAGAGCCCACCTCAGGATAGCCAGTCTCTTCCCGCTAGGCACCATGAGTAAGAACTTGAGATCAGAGTATTTGGATCCAGCCCTGACTAGTATGGCTCAGTTGGAGCATTGTTCCGTACACTGAAAGGTTGCAGTTCAGATACAGGACCAAGTCTTCTCTGGGGTCTTCTGAATCCTGCAGGCTTCATACTTTCTATTCATGGTC